AATTTTAAAAGTATGAGTTTCCATGACATCCTAAACTAAGCAGAAATATTTCCTTGCATTTTTTTTTAATTCCTCAAAAATGTTTGTAACCCTAAAGGGGCGTCATTTTGTGAATATATGTGAAATTGTTTAGAATTATAAATTCAACTGGTCAGTTATTGTCAGTCTCCACCTTAAGCAACATGCAAAGGGTAAAGAAACGTCACCAAAAGCTGAAAGGTAATGAGTTATTTTAATCTTTAAAAGGATATTCATGTCCCACTGAAATCAACAGCAAAACTTTCATTGAGTTCAGCAGGGAAAGGATTTCAGTCACCAATTAAAACAAAGGAAGAACAGTCATAATCTCTTCAAAATTAATAAGGTGCAGCTTAAGGTGTACAGAGATGCTTGCTGAAAAAATGAAGTTTTACCTGGAATGAAGTTATTGCATTCAATCTGAATTATATTTTTTCTGGAAAAGCTAAATTAATGTTTGTTTTGTTCTATTTTGTATGTAAGTGAGTACACACGTATCTCTGCTGCTCCTCATTTCTGCCAGGACTAGAATCAGGAGGCAAGAAAAGCTGTTGTAGTACTTCACAAAGTCAGGTAAAATCCAAAGTCTCTCGCAAGAGCTTTTCTCCTGAGATTTCCTGACAACAGGGTTTTAGATAAATGCAGATAAGCCTTATATAAGTATCTGAACTTTAGAAAGCTTATCTGAACCAAAACATCTCCAAACTTCTGATATTCAGTCCCACTAGTTAGTGTTTGTTATACACATGCCTCTCCACAAGAAGGTACCAGTGGCTGTATTTCACTGCTCTCCTTACCTCAGTCTCTCGGAGGGGATGGGATGAGCTGACTATTCCTTCCAGCATCAGTGTTTCCATAAGCACATGGAGCATCTGGAGCAATACGGAGAAGAAACTCTTAGAGTACCTTCCTCTTCCAGTTCCCTCACAGCATTCCCATGACACTATGCCCAGTAGCTCACGTGCATCCCTAAATTTAGATTCCACTCAGCACTGGCACAGTAGCACACTGGTTTTACTAGGCCTGTTTTCAAGTGCTGCATTGTTAGCATGTTTCTGTTATCTCCCCTCCCCCTGTTGTCCAACAATTAGTTGACATCCCATGAGAATAACACAAAGACATTGTCAAAGCTGGTAAAAGCAATTCAAATTGGAACACCTCTTTCTTGGTCTCTGTTGAATCTTACTTGGATTTCCACCCATGTCCTCAATCCCTCACCCCTTATTCAGAAATAATTTCCATCATCTCAGATATTTCTTTGCTTTAGGGCTCTTCTTTTTGCTCCAGTCACTTCCCAAGAAAACTATTCTATGCCGTTTCTTTTTTTCTCCCCCCAGGAAAAAATTTTTACCTGAATTTCTAATTCAGTAGCACATCACTGCTTTAGTTCACACTTCTCATGCTCACTGGATTCCTTCTTGTACTACATAAAGCTCCACTTCGGCATAGAGTCTACAGAAAAAAACTTGACTAAAGGCAAAGTCCATTGCTTGTCTTGCTGACTGATTCTGTCATCTTGTACTCTGCCATCTGCATATATCCCTATTTCCTTCTTGTTAAGGCATTGCAGGCTTTTGAAGGTGAGGTCTTTTTGTACATGTATCTCTTAGACCCTGTACATAAAATGTGGTTCAGGACTAGTGCTCCTGGTAAAAAAAAAAAAAAGCATTAATTACATTATCAAGAAACAGTAACAATAACAATAGATTTTTCAATAGTTCAACTGCACTTTAATTCCATATTGCAGTCAACCCTGAGTCATCAAAATCACCTTGTGTTTCCTTGTGTAACCCACTGTTCGTGCATATTATGATCCCTCTTTATGCAGCTGATCCATGGACATTGGTAGTCCTGTTACTATTCCTAGCTAAAAAAATAAGTACTTTCAATTAACAGATGGGGTCCATATTTTACAGTGCAAAAGACCCGTGTACGTTCCTATTTAATTATTTGCTCTGCCTCTTAATTTAGCTGTGTACATATCTGGAGAAAATCCACTGCATTTAGTGCTTCAGAAATGACAATTTTTGCTGGTATTAAATATACACTTAATATGCAACAATCTAAATGTGAGCTACTCAAATCGAGAGGAAATAAATTTATTCAAGAAATGGGATTGCTTCCTTAAATTAGAAATAGCTCTTCCATTTACCAAGTCCCTCATTCTCATTTACATAAACTTTTGTCAGTAGTAGCTGTGAGGGACATCAATGGGGCTAGATGCAGCTGAGATGTGAATGGAAGCCCTGTGACTGTTTCTCTCAGACTTGACCAAGACTGCGTATCTTGCATTGGGCAGTGCTAATGGAAAATAGGGGCCACAGTCCTTTAATACATCTATATAATCATCCTCTACAAAATTCATAACGAATATAGATGTCTCTAGGCTTCCTGGACTCTCTGAATATTGCAACTTGAGAGCTTGATGGAAGAAAATTGTCAGTGGAATTAATTGGTGGAATGACTTAGCAATAAAACCTCTGCAGCCAGGGCTGTAGTCTCCTTGTGCTTTAGGTTATTCGCAGTAATTGTGCATCCTGTACATCCTCCATACAAAGCTCCACTTCTCAAAGCATCATGTGTCAGCTCATGGCCCTCAAGACACATATGGCTCTGAACCGTGCTATGAAAATTGGAGCAGATTTCATGTGGCTTAGCTGGGCCCCAGAAGCATGCAAAATGCTACAAATTCAAAGGCAGAAATGGTCCTTGATTAAAGAGAATCTTGTTGTTTGTAAGGACCTTGGGCTTACAAATTATTCCTGTGCAACACCTAGCACCAGAAGTACAAGGAAGCAAAAAAATTCATCTCACTGGAAAAGTGGAGCTGTTAACAACTCCATCAGAACTGAGGCACTCAGAAACAAACGGAAAGCACAGAAGTATCAGCAGCACTTCAGACTCTGGTTAGTGGCAGTAAAGGCTAGTGGAAGGGAGACAGTTAGAAGGAAGCTTTTCTCTAACAGTGACTGATAGACTTGATAGGTTTAAGAGTTTCAATTAAATCAGGCAGAGTAAGCAAACAAGTAAACCCCTTTTTAGAAATTGAGTTGTACATTGCATGTGGAAATGAAACACTGAAAAGTCAAAGGTAGCACTGGAAAGTGGAGCTGTGAGATAGCTTGTGTATAACCTGGGGTCGAAGGGTCTTCCATTTTGAGGAGGCAGCCACAGTCCCTAGCATGAGTCTCTGAAGCAGCATGTCAAAGGGAGAGAAGGGGGGACTCCTGGGAACCCTAGAGTTAGACAATAACAATATTAAAATATAGAAGAAAATTAAGCTCCAAAGAAGCTTGTGGAGGATAAGCACTACTCTGATGCTCTACACATGCTTAAGAAATCTGAGTATCATAAAGCACACTCATGACACAAAAGAATTTGTAGCTTGAAGTCCAGTACACTCAGGGTTTCAGCAGGGACAATTAAGCACACAAAACACTGGGACAAACATTCTGTGAAACACATGTGAGGATTTTCTGCTTCATCAAGACAATAACAAGGAAAACACATTGAAGAAATCTGTTTAAAACAAGAAAGAACTGAAACATGTCAAGATTATGCTTAACGTTCAACACTATTGTCAGAAAATCAGCAGAAGTATGGTTTGGGGAAACTCTGAATATTGATAAACATATTGCCTCCGTGATAGGCAAAATACTTTTATTTATGAAACCACCATGGACAGACTGTAGAATTCATGCACTCTATGAAAATAGCAATTTTTCTATCAAATATTCTATCAATACATTTATTTTGTTTTAGTTTAGGAAGCATGCTGTGCAGTATTTCAATTAATCTTTTTCATTCCTTGTTTGTATATATTTTTTCATGCAGAAGAAAAGTCTATTGTGGTAGCTAGAGAAGTGAAAAGTAAGTTTCCTCATTTTTCCTTTCTCTTCATGTTAATTTATGCAAGAGATAATAGCATATTTGCTCCTTGGATCTGCTGGGTTCAGAAAATATTCCTATACCTTAAATATTTTGCAAATAAGAAAAGACTCTCGCTTAAAGGCTTATGATGCTGTGTTTCTGCCAGTTTGTATGGTAATAAAACTTGGTTCCTTATCCACATTCATAACAGTAAAACATTACAAAAAGAAAACTATAGTACCACTAACTACACTCACATCCAAAGCCATGCAGCACAAACTGAAGGTAACAAATTTGGCTTTTTGTGGATAAAAGCAGTTAAAAAAATCATTTAGATTAGCTATTCTTGTACTCCTGTGTTCTTCCCCATCAAAGTGGGGATTCATTTCCCAAAGGAAGAATAAGAATTATAGATTCCTCATTTCCTCTGCTGAACTCTCAATTTTCTAGTTAATAACATTCATGGAATAAGTAATTAAATTGTTGTAGCTTTTTGTAAAGAAAGCAAAAACATTGTCCTTATTTCTACCATTGTCTAATTAATTGGCAAAATAGAGGCAGATGTTTTTAAAAGAACAAGTCATGTTCTTTTGTAGATGATGTTTTAACTGCAATTCTCAGTGAACAACAGAAGTCCTGTAATGACACTTTCGAAGGTTTAATTCATAAAAAGTGTTATAAAGATATATCTGCAGGCTTTTCATGGCATTCTGCACCTACTCCCAAGTACCACTTGCAAGTTTTGCTGCCATTCAGTCAGGTTTTATAATAGAAGCAGAATAGGCGCATGGCTACTGAATCACCACAATAAACTCTTAGTTACATCAGGTTAATGGGCATAATTCCTTGAATTAGTACTTACTTAAGTAATTATCTGGTGTACATACTGGTTCCAGTTCTATCCTTAGTGCCACATTCACTCTCTGAGTATTTAGCTGTATTTCTGAGCTGCTGATGGTAAACTCCTAAACAAGTGACCAGCTTGTCAAATCTAGAGCCTACTGCAGTCAAGGATTCCCATCCCAAGTATATACATACATACATACATACGTGTCTGTGTACACATATCTCTATGTAAAAGTAGTCAGCTGAACTTCTATTTCCTTTTTCAGAGAGAAAAGAGGAAAAGAAAAAGACTGATGTAAAGACAGCTACAACTGAAACTAAGAAGAAAGGTATGGTATGGGAATGTTTCTTCTTGGCCTCATTCAGCTTTTAGTCCCACTCCTGACTCAAATCCCATTGTTTTTTGATAGGTTAATCTTCTGCTTCTGGTTCTGTGTTGTCCTTCTCTTAGTTTCTTAGCCACTATTTGCATGTTACCACTTCTTCAGTATCTGATGTTCGATGTGTTCAGTGTCCAGTATTTCCTAAACTCTTTTTCTGACAAATGAAAAGTCCTGTTTGGTGGCCATCTATGGGCTTGTTAAACAATTTAATGGAGTCCCTATATATAGGAGGACATAGTGATATTGCCACACACAAAGCTCTTGGGAGGAATTAGTCAGTTCACAGTACACCACTTTATGCAGTTGGGGGAGATTTATTTATTTATTTTGTAGAATCACAACCAAAACTTGCAGTGACCAAACTGCAAAACCTTGGTGTCCATCTAAATAACATTTGAGATCATTCATTCCCAGGGAGCATCTAAAATCCACTAAGGTTTTGCTCTCATGGGAAAATATTTATGTCATTCATTATTTTTTAATGATCTCATTGCTCCTGGAGCTTAAGCTAAAAGGTACCACATTCATGCACTGATGATTTTCACCTAGCCCTTGATGAATTATTAAGGGTCCAAATCATCCATAGTTGAGGCATACTGATTAATTTTCATTTTCAGCTGATTGCTCTGTGGCTAGTTGGGTGCAAGTGCTATAAGGAAATAATCTGAACTAAACCCTCGAATAAGTCACATTTTTTTCAGCATGTGCCCACCAGGACTTGGCTGACTGCATATTTGAGTGTATGATTCAGAGTTCTAGTGTATCAAATTACTTTCTTTAATTAAATCTTAGAAAAAGAAGGAAAAAAAGAGAAAACTCATGAGAAGATAGCTGTCCCTGAAATTAAAAAAGCAGGTAAGAAATTGAAGTCTGTCTTTCTCTGCAGTGGATATCTGACTATTTAGTGTAAGCACTCTCAGGTTTTAAGAATTTGAGATAGGGATGTATGTTCCTTATCACTCAGAATCCAAGCTGGAGATATATAAAGAGATCACAGTATATTTATTTATATATATATGTGTAATATGCTTCCATTATACATATATAATTTTATGCATATTTCATATATGCCTATGTGTATGTATATATATATTACATATAATTTTGAATTCTGTGAGCTTGGGATTTTTACAACAACGTAGAAACACTGCTTTCTCTTATACACTAAATCAATCAAGAGCATAAGTAGTTTCAAAGGGTGCATGGCATGGAAAGACTGAATAGGGTGCATAGATTTTTGCATGAATTATTTCACAAATTCAGCTCACTGTAGCTATCAAACCACTTAATGTGGTAGAAAAGGGATAGTTATCTTTCTGAGGCTTTATCCACACCCAGAAAATAATTTTTTAAAAAGTTAAAAATAAAGTTAGTGAATATCCTGAATCTAATCAATTGTGTTTCATGCTATTTAGCATAAAAGGATAAATTTTTCAATAAGATTAGAAATTAACATTTGGGGTCTTGTCTACACTAAAATTGTTATAACTTTTCTTTCCCGTTATTTCAGTAAATTTGCAAGTATGTTTAATGCAGAAATGCAAACATATCTCCAGTAAGTGACACAGTCTGTAAAACTGTCTCATTAAAATCAAGTCTCATTAAAAACAAGGAGAAACAAAATTGTCAGCCTGGTGATTTGGTCATCATCTTAATACCTAGAAACACTTGTTCTACTTGCTGCTTTGTCACACACTTTCTATATAACCTTCTACAAGCCATCAAGTACTCAGACGAACCTTTATGTGGACTAGAGTAATGCCTAAAACCATGGAGAAAGGTTTAAAATAGGATTGAAAGATTCAGGTCTATAGTTACTATGTCCTCAAGGCAAGTCTTGTGCTCTGTTATCTAATTATTTAAATCTGTTGAATTTTATCGAAAGCTGAAGGGATATATATCCCCTTGTTTGCTAACATTGTGGGTTACGTATGCAAATTTCAATATGCAACTGGCAGCTTTGCCAGTGAGTCGTACATGGTCTACATAAGCTGTCCTATTCAAGTGTTTATGGATGCGAAGAAAAACGTTAATTTATGTTTGGTACAATACAAAAAATACACAGAATGACATAGAATACCTTGGAGTACTATCCTGGTAGCCCCATATTTAAACATGCTTCAGTCGTTTATAGTAGGGAGTGGCACACCGGGGAAGGGATGAGGATGAAAGGGAATATTCCTTTCCAAGTTAAGTTGCATATTTAAATGTATAAACACAGATTTAAAAAGAAAATAAGCTGACAATTCAAATATCTTTTCTAATTTTATTCTGGTTCTAAGCTTGTATATCACTTGAGAATACAGAATTGAAAAGATTACATTTTATGGCAGAGCTGCAGCATAAAGTTATTAATATGTTCATCTTCACAAGCTGTTGCTAAATCCAGTGAGTCATCCTACCAATGCTAGAAAGACACAAATTAGACAAACCGAGACATCCGCACATTTCTGTCCTTTTTATTAGCTCTGTAGGTTGCTGCATTTTGAAGAGTTTACTAGCCTTTGTGTAAGTGGATGGTAATCCATAATATATTCTAGCTACACATGTTGCTGTTATTCCTCATTCAGTTTGCTCTTTGAATGCGTGTGTACTTTCTAGCTTTGATTGGCAGCACCTATTGTTGTCCCTAAAAGGTTTTAAGCCTGAAATAATTGCCACATTTGATCAACAGAATAGCAGAGCATAGCCCAGTTTTGAAATGAGGCACCTCAGTGTCTGATAGTATTTACATGCTTTGGGCAGACACAGCAAATGAACCTCAGAGCGCTTGAATCAGCAGCGTAGATAAGCATCCAAAAGCAAGAGTGTAGGAACAGCTTCCAATTTTCTTACCTTCTCCCATTAAAAGGCTAGGCCAAGGCTACTGCATTAAAAATAAATTCCTCACCCTGGTTTTCAAATCCTCGCATTACCTCTGGATGCCTCTGATTTTGTGTCTCATTTTGCTTCCCCCAAACTTTGCAGTCCCTGAAGCCAAGGTGCATGTCGAACTTGCTGCCTTTTCACCCCCACCCCCACCGTCTCCCTGCCTGTGGGCAAATCCTTCTGCCAGGAGCCAGCTGCCTGGCACCCTGGTCCCACCTCTGCTCCTCATCCTCACATACCTCCTCCCAGAAGACTCACCTCTGCCAGGAGGCCCCTTAATCAGGCATTCCCCACAGACAGGAACTGTGATGTGTACAGGCTTGAGAGAGAGAAAGAGGAGGAGATGCTCTGTAAGCACTAGGTGATAAAAACATCTCTAAAATAATGCTCTGAGAGCAGCACTTCCCTCTGTTCCTCTAACAAGGAATGCTTGTGATTGTAAATACTGAATACTTCTGCTGATTAATATTGCAGATTAGCCCTTTTGTCCAGGAGACAATTTTATCTCTAGTGTTACCAGAATGGAGTGTTTTGTTGCTCTCCATTAACTGCATCCCTGTGACATATTTGTTTATTTGCATGCCGCCTCACTCTTTCTCTGTTCCTCTCTTCCTCCATTCTTCTCTCTCTCTTCATGCTGCTGCAGAGGAGCAAGAGTCATCTCATGTGAAATGTTCTCAGTCTTTAATACAGAGTGAACTGAATGATTCTTAATTAGCTTTTAAAAATGCATTGTAGATAAAACCACATTAATCCTCTGACCCTCAGGTCGTACAGAAACATTGTGTTAATTGTCCTGAAAAACAGATAATTCCATTGTTACAAACTCAGAGGTCTTGCTTAAACAAACATAATTGTCAGACACAAGAGTCTGGCACAGTCACACTTCAAAACATTTTACAAAAATCTATCCAGTGGTACCCTGGATAAAGAAGGAGTTGCATCTCGAAATCCCTGAGTAGGGGTTCCCTGATCCCCAGCAGAGACAGGCCTTTGCCAGGCTCTCCTAAAGCTCCGGGTGGTTGGGGCACAACAGCTTGGAGGGATCCAGCCTGCAATCTGACTGAGAAAGGGGACCAACTCTGTTAAAGCTTTGTGCTCAACCCTACAGGAAGATGAATATGCAAAGTTTGGTGTTTTCAGATACTCATAATTTGCTCGCAGAATGTTTCCTGATGGTCCCTTTCTCCGAATCCCAACAGTCTGGAGCTTCTCTGCTTCTTCTATCAGCTTTCCTTAAAATTCATTGTGTTCACATGCAGCCTTTGTCTTTAAGTTTGATTGCCACAAATTCCTTTCCCACTCTGTTTTGGTTCTCACAGCAAATAACATAGGTAATAAATGAGCTTAGAGAGCAATGAAAATGTCAGCCTGGATCATCACACCTTTTCCTAACTAAACCTCTGCTCAGCTGTCATTGATGATCCTGCCTTCCTGTTATTGCTGCATAATTTCAAATAATAACAGTAATAAAAATACCTAGGTCTTGTGCAGTATTTTTTGATAGTAAATCTTAGAACCACTTTAGAAGGATAGTCAATGCCTTTTCGTCCACTTTCCACGTATGGAGATTCAGGTATAGACATGTCATCCAGGCCAGTTGTCCACGGGGCTTATAGTATGCCAAACCAATGCTAGCTAGATTAAAGATCCCAAACATCTATACACTTTCATTATTTCCCTAATGAAAAAAACATGCAAATGATGTTCAAGAAGAAATTGTTTTTGCTTAAAAACATAAGGTCTGATCAGCTGGACAAATGTTCAAGGATCCTTAGGCTCTGACCTGCAGTGACAAACTTTTTAAGTGTCTCAAACCCAGGTGTTATCTGCAAACTTACTGGGGACGCACTCAATCCCCTTGTCCAGATCATTGATAAAGATATCACTATGATAAAGATATATCTATGACGCATGATACTGTGTCATATGTTTCACACCAGGCAGTGTTAGCAGGAGAGGTGAGTGGTGATGTGTCTCTAGCTTCCAAAATAAATCTTTGCCTCCTGAATAAGAAAAGTCTCTGGGGGTTTAAAGTTGCAAACACTGAGGTACATTTTAATGATGTCACTGTTACAATCAAATGAACTCGCTCTGCAGTCATGAAAAAATAAACTAAACGTTCATCTTAGACGTAAAAATTGAAAACATTACCTTATGACTAACCAGGTTAATGAGGTTATTCTTGCTACCCTGTCATGCAGTGAGATCATGTAGCTGGGAGGAAAACCTATGTTTAATCATGCTTTGGAGGAGCGATGTTATAGTACTAGGTAGGCAGAGTATACTGGAGGTGATCAGGCAAGAGCAAACAAGACCTACCAGGTCCCAGCAATTTTTTGCATGGGTTGACCACAGATGCATTTTCATCAACTGTACATTCTTTGCTTTAAAGGCCAGCCTTTGTAAGTTGCAAAAAAAGCAGTTATTTAATAGGAAATGGATAGAGAAGACCATTTTATTCACCAACCATTACCCTTGTAGTCTTGATATTATTCTATTACAATAAGAGAGCAACTACTGACACCTGGTGGCCAATTATCTTTTTCTGTCGTTCTATATGCCTGGGGTTCTTTGTTGTTTGCTTTCAAATATGGCTATTTAAAGAGTTTGCTTATGAAATGATGAACCTATTACTTATTTCTGTACCATCCTTATCCTATTCCTTTCATGGCTAGAAAGATGTTAGAATGTCATCCAAATGTTAGAATATCATCCAAATGTGTCACCATTCTCAGAAGAAATATTTTGGAATGACAGTACTTTCAGCACTGTGAGGAAAAGTAAAAATTAATTAAAATATACATTATGATATAAGTTTATACCTAGAAAAAAAGCATGCTTGTTATACCCATTGATCTAGAGGGGTAGATGCACACTACACTGCCTGAAATGCTTTGGGTTGATCCATCTGCAATGGATTGAACACCTCATCTGGGATCCAAATGTTGATCCCAGATTTTTTCTGATGAGCAAATGGGGTGTGC